AGAGGATTGAGGAAAGTGTTTATTTGATCGAGTTCAAGCATGCGCAGGCCGTTCGTCTCGTGAGGCCAGCCAAATTGCTGTAATCGAATGGACAACGTCGGTCGACGTTGCCTCCACCGAACACTGGCCATTTGGCTTTCAGCAATAGACGAGGTGACTTGCAAATGATGGCCAGTTTCGATGAGATGAATGGTCTGTACGAAACTGATTTGTCACCGGCTCCACTCACTTCCACTCCGACAAAGGTCACTTCTGACAAGAGAGAGTGAGCACTGAAAATGTACACTCCATCAGGACGGAAGATTTCTGCTGTTGTCACCTTCCAAAGGAAGCAACAATCTCGACAAGGCTGAGATTTGCAAGCAAAGAAAGGGCAGGAAAGGCTTCCAGCGAGAGCTGATGATCTGTCGTGGGACGACAGCGCAGGACAAGCGATAGAATGCACTCGAGAGTTGAGGCAAGGGACCGACAAAATAGTCCCAGTGGGACTTGGCCAGAGCGGGCCGAGCACAAAAGCTAGTGGTTTATGATGAATTCATCTCGAACTTGAGCATAAGGTTGCCTTGCGATGCAGGCAAACGGGGCAGTGGGAAAGTCTACAATTTGTGGGCAAAAAATAAATCTCTATTGAGCATCGGCACTGCTGAAAGATGCCAGATCGTCAAGTGAGGAGAAGTTCGTATGAATACGAAGCCAGAATAAAGTCAACGGTTTTGTAGATACAAAGAAGAAGTGGGCTTCGATGAATCTCGGAGGAGAACATTGCTCGGGAATATGAAAGTGCATGATACGGAGATTCGAAGATCGATCTCGTATGTTTCCACGTTGTACTGCGACCGTTTGGCTTTGGTACGTCGTAGACGTTGACCAGGTCCACGAGATATTTGCCCTCGTTTCGTGTGAAAACTGTCTGACCTTTCGCTCGTCACACGATGCACATCATCACAGCTTAAAGACATTCTTATAAAAGTGTCAAGCTAACACGAGGTCAAAATGACTGATCGGCATAGGATATATTCACACCCATATTCATATATAAATATATATCCAAATGCCCATGTGTGTGACTCTTTTGGCCTGCTAGAAATGGCAACCAGACTAAGCTGTTATGCAAAAGATACACTTCATTATAACCATACAACAGCCATAAGGTTATCCCAATAAACATCTCTTTTTCATAGCCATTCAAGCACCCAGACAGGCCAATCTACATGAATACACAAAGACGGGCAAGCCTGAATGCTAGCCAGGAAAGGTATGGGTGACAAGATTAGAGGTTACATTAGGAAGGCATCATTCAGCCCGATGACCGTCAAACGCCAGCACATACCATTCATAGTACTCAACTATTCCATTCAAACGAACAAATAATATCACTCTATGCATACAAAAGCATCCACTGCCCATTAAAAAGCCACATATAATACCTCTCAATACGACACCTGGGTACAGGGCGAATGTTGAGCATACAAAATAGAGCCTCTCAGCCCTCGGCATACTCATAATTACAAACCGAGAAGGTATATTATGCACACACCCAGAATGATTTAGCCAAATCCCTTTTATTTTGGTCTACTGTCTTAGTTGAGTATGTCTGTGTTAACTTTCATCAAGAGTACCGGTGCCAAATGGGAGAGATGAAAAACTTTTCTATATCCATCTGTATATGAATACTTTCTCGTCACGACTATATGGAAGCATGTAGGAAAGGGCAGGTCAGTCTTCTGGGTCTTTAACAGGAGTGAGTTCTAGCTCGGATAGGGTCCAGCATGTACTGGACGAAAGAACAGCCAGTTTTTACGCGAAACGAGGCACGATGTCTCATGGCCGTATTCAAGCCAAACGGAAGCAGTGCAACGAAGGCCATATCAACTTCCATTCGAATCTACTCACCCTTCATTTTGATATGAAATGCAAGTTCGCCCAATAATATTCACGTTTTGGGACATCATTTGTCATCAAATATTGTAATATGAGATGTAATCACCCAATTTCAATTAAGGTGATGAAGGAATTGTACTCTAATTTTCCTACAACGATACGGGTTGAGCTGACATTTCCATTGCATTTCACAATGCCTTGCTTTACCAAAAGTCGTTCTCATACAAGCGCTAATGGACTGCAGTTTCGACCTCGCATTGTTCTTATCACACCCTCAGCGGGAGTCGAACTTGGGTGAATACATCTCATATTACTGATTTACTGGTAGTCACGAGAACAATAATTGACTCAAATATTGTGTCACGATCCCATTTAAACGCCCCTTCCCCCATCTACCTCAAATGATATCATGACGTATTCCAGCTGAAGAGATGTTACTCACTTGCCAACAGCCGAGACGCCAAGCTAAAGAAGGAATAGAGCCAAGGACCTTTGTCAACTCCATTGCCAATATTACAACTGCCTGGAGACCAATGACTTTGAGTCGGAGGAGCAGTTGAGAAGAGTCAAAGTGCTTATTCTTTGGTCTTTCTGTATTTCAACCGCAGTCCATGCGCACAAGTAGAGAACCAAAGTAGTCCCAGCCACACGAAATGCCCATTCAATGTGACCAAATCTCGGACATTCATACCAACGAGCATCGAAACGACCGACAGAACGAGTACTTTTGGGCTCAGTGGCCGTTTGATATGCTCGAATGGGCAACTGCAACTGCTCAGAAATTGCTTCTCAGTACATGTCGATACGAAAAGCCTGTGATCTTTAGTTTGGCTGCATGTAGACCTAACTTGCAAAAATGAGTCGCGCTCTCGAAAGGATTTCCGAGAAAGTAGTCAGCATTGACTGCTCTGCCAACGCGTTGAACATTTGTTTTAAGTGGGATTTGGAGACAACCCTTTGCTCTTGCACAAGAGCTCTAGTAGCTCAAGCGGAAAGAGGACTGCTAATGCATTTACTCAAGTGAGATGAGTATGCCTCGCGGTCCAAGAAAATTGCACTTGGCTTTGCCTCCTGAAAAGTATTCTCCTACAAGATGGACCGCTGTTTCCACTAGAACAGAAGTACAAGTTAGCGCTGCACCACACTGCCGGTCAGACAGCGACAACTGAATTTCAAAGTAACCAAGACATCTCTCATATAACCATTGTATGGCAGACTGTCGTCGAGGCGAGCATGTATTTGCCATTACAATCGACAATACTACTTGTATTCGTTATCAGTAGTTTCTAAAAAAGACTGTAGTGCCAAATATGCATCTGCTTAAGCGACAACCCAACTGAACAACTTTGTTATGCTGACGGCCGAGTATGTTTTGTACTTCACTCTTCACTTGTGACCCGGGTGCGGTGAAAGCTGCAGTCCATTCTGGATGAGGTTACTTTCTGGTAACAGTGCCGGGTGGAATTGGACAGCATCACGAGACCGAGTCACTTCAATGTGGACAAATTCACTAATATCATCTGAAGCGACCCAGAGTGAGTGAAGCGCTTACAGTTGGTGGTTGGAGCAATTTGAAGTTAATCTCCCCCCGAGTTGTTCGTTGGTAAGCCAACTTATGAATACATTTGATGATGAAAGTGGGAGTCAATCCGACAACAGAATATGCGTCAGACACAGCTGAGCTCGGCATGCCGATGAGCCGAGGCAGATAAAAGCATACAACCGCAAAACAACTGCAAGCAAC